TGAAATCCCTAAATTTACATTCGGGTTTGTGTGTAGAACAGACCCTGATGCAGTGTAACCACAGCGTCCTCACCACCAACACCCCAAGGGATGTGCATGTTCCACACTCACTGGAAATGAAAAAAAAAGCTTCCACAAGGAGCAGCTCTGCTTCCCCCGTTTAGTCCTAATAAAGATCTTTTCCCAACCTGGTACGATTGATTCCCTTCCAGAAAGCCGAAAGTAAAAGCCTCTTTATGCTGTGCATGCTCAAGGAAGGCTTTTCATTACGCCTTTAAAGAGCACAGTACAAATATTCAGCCCTGTATTATTATTATTATTATTCCTCCAGGCAGTAGAGCAAGAAAACAGACAAACCCACGGGAGAATAACTCAGCTATGCCTACAAGCAAAGGAAGATCAGTGGCCATCCACCAGGATACCTGCATGGCTTTCAGAAGGGGGGAAAAGGCGCAGCACGAGAGCTTTGATTTTCACAGATCTTGCATTTCATTTTTTTTTTCAGGCGTCTCTGATATTTTTATAAGCTCTTTTTATGCACTAACTGGAGTGCCCTTAGACATCTTCCAGGTTTATGCACGCTCCCTGGAGAGGGATGCTGTGCTTCTGACTGCAGCCACACAGCTGACAAGAGTCAAGACACGCGGCATGGCAGGAATGATTATTCATTTACTCCAGTGCTGTATCTCAAGAGGTACTTGTCTGTGTAAATGTCCTGGGAAAAAAAAAATAATAAAAAAAGAAAAGACTAAAACTGTTGAAACTTCATCCTGAAGAGAAAACAGCAAAGAGCACTGTTTTGAAATTAGGAAAGCAAACAATTCTATTTCTCTCCTTTCCTGCCATTGATTAGAGCACAGTGATGAGGAGAGGCTGCAGTTAAGATTTCTGAGAGGGAATTTGTGCACTCCTTTGATCTAATTCCATGCAAGTGCTAAGCAATATAATCAGAGCAAAAGAATTTTTTTTTCCTGAGTGTCTTATATTGTGTGCATTTTTTACAGGCACATAAACTAAACCTGCCCAGCTATTTGCCAGTACCAGCAGCAGAAAAACCCATTAAAACCCCACTACTGTGATGTTTCACTTCATTTTGAAGATGTGAAGGACCTGTGATAGAGCACAGGATTAAGCTGAATGTATATTGCTATTCTTGGGGCCCAGCAGAATGTTAAATACAAAGAGAAATCTGCCCTTCCAGACCTCATTCACTGCTATGCTAGGGTTGCTCTACATTATTGACAATGTGAAAAAAACCTTAAAGGACATAAAAATGCTATTTGCATGCTGCCCATGCTCTGATTCTCTAACACAATGATATACACTGTATATACAACTGTGCTTTAGGTGACTGGCAAGATCCTAAGAGATGACTTTTCCCCATCTTTTCTTAGAAATGCAAACAAATTAACAAATGCAGAGCTAATTTGGTGCCAGAAGAGCACAGTGAAGACTGATCCTCAGCAGCTGAACTGTGTCTTTTCATGTTAAATCCTCAGTGTCTTTCTCCTTCCAAAATTAGCCATGAATAAAAGAATTTGAAAAGTAATAATACAAAGACAAATGCTATATATTACAGAGCATTTCTGAAAGCCTTCAAAAATTATTTCTTTAACAGTGGACTGAGAAAATTGACACATCTGTGCTGGATCTGATTAGTCATGTTTCTCAGTGTACTAGTGCTGTCATCATTTGTTCTAATATTTTGTGGCTATCATGCAAACAGGGATCACAGCTATTAAGTCCTTCCTATCTTCTGGAGAAACGATCAGGGCCCTTTTGCAAGTGGAACCCGAGCACACAACCATTCTACACGTAAGATGAGAAGTGAGAAGGAGCTTCTGAACATTGCACAGCATGTTTTTACCATTTACTGCCATAAAATACACTACAAAGTTACCTTAGGGCACATTTTAATCTTTCCTGTATAACTGAGGGTTTTTTTCCATCTGTCTAAACAGTAATTTACCCTCTAGGATTTATGGGCTTATTAAAAACAAACATGAAAAGAAAGAAATTTGTTCTCCATTGCTTTGGCCCTCCTCCAAAGGAAAAAGGTCTTCTTCCCAATAAGCGACACATTTGTCAGTTTGTAAAACACTAAACGTGTTTAGTGGCTGGGAATAATCAAAACTGGTGCCTCCCAGGGTTTTTGGGTGAAAAAAAAAATAGAATAAGAGATTTTTCTACCATTGTAGCGACCAACCTGTAGCTGTGTCACGAGGCAGAAATGCATTGGCAGTGGGATGCACCTGGGGATACAGATGGAGGTGGAGCAAAGTGATTTACACACAGTCCTGCCCCTCCATCCAAAGGCAATGATTTCTTTACCCATTTCCTCTTAATGACTTCTTTGAAAAGAGTCTTGAACTTGAACTTATCTGCCCAAGTAAGCTGACATGGAATCATTTTATATTTTGTGGGGAAATCTGAGGTTTACTTCACTCAAAAAGAAAAACGCTGGGGGAAGTTTGTCTACCGATTATTCTAAAAACAATGTGAAACTCTGCATTCTTTATGCTGAATAGAAAGAACAAACACCTGCAATAACAATTGACACCCCAGAAAATAACCAAAGTCAATTTTGGATTCTTGTCTTAGACAACTAGAGATCTGACTTTTATTTTTGTCAAGATATAAAAAGCTTCTCCATCCAATCCAATCCAATCCAATCCCATTTAATGTTAAGACAAGAAGCTTCAGTGGAACAAGATGATCTGCTTTTAAAAGTCTGCTGTTTCTCTTTGCAGAACTGCCCTTCACAAAACCAAACTCGCTTCTATTTTCCTTCCTGTCCCCACAAAAACTCTCTCAGTCTGATCCTCTTCAATCGTGATTAAAAACCGTTTCTCAGCATCTCCCTGGCAAATGTTCCAACTCATTTTTTTCAGAATCTGGCAGGATGCTTGTATCTTGCTTGAGGTTTTGTATTGCACTAATTATCCTGATAAGATGGCCTAATTATCATGATAAGGAAACCACAACCCTCCCGCAGGATGCAGCAGGTTTTTGTGAATAACTAGGTAGGATGACAGGGGTTCAGTGCTCGGTTTCCCAACCTCATTCATTCTGCCACAGCCCACCAGTGTTCCACCTGGAAACAGCACTGACTTTAGCTGGCAACACAGAGCGTATTTGCTATCATTTATAGGCTGGAACTGTCATGAATATGTCATAAAACATGGAATTCGTCCATATGCTTGGAATTCAGTCAAATATGCCTTTAAAAAAAGGATAAAAACTGTCAAGTGAGATTAAAAATTTGTTACGCTAAAATAAAAAACCTTCAGGACCGTTCAGCACCACATTTCAAATACAGTGAAGTCCTTCAGACTTGCACTTGCTGAACGTGAATAGGAGGTAAGGGTGGCCACAGATTCACACCTGGAGGTCAGCAGTGACATGACATCAGGATCAGCAGTGCCAGGGGTAGCCTGGCTGCTGGAGGGTGCACGTGAGTGCAGCATCTGTGGCTGTCAGGTCAGTAAGAAAGCAGCAGTCATCTTTCTGCTCCTTCTTAGATCCAATGAACATTGACCTTATTACCTGTATTATCCTCTTCCAGACCAACATTTCACTATTTTTTGTGTCCCTAAAGCACTTATGGTGTTACCTAACACTGTCACAGCCTGAGTGAAAAGCACAACCTGACCTGACACCAGCAAGCCTTGCTGACACTTCACTGGATTAGCCCAGTGAGAGCAGTAAGTGGCCAACAACTGAATCCCAAAAGCTTGAGGATCCGGCTCCAGCTCATTGCATCGAGGCACTGGCACTCAGGAAGCACAACAGAACCAAAGGGGTGAAAGAAAATCTGCATCTCTCACTTCTTGACTGTTGTGCTTTGGAAGACACGAGCAGCCATTCAGGGAGGTGGAACAGATCATGTTGGGTCAGTGCATAAAAGGAAGCACTAAATGTGGGGAAGACAGTGAAAAGAGGAATGCAGCAGGTTCTTCTGCCACCCACATCACCCTCCAAGACACAGCAGAATGTGAGACACTGCAGTTCAGCTCCTCAACCAAGCAACTAAATTCCTCCTTCAGATAACCTGGAATATCCCTGGCCAACAGTCATGTATCATCTACTAAATTCTGCCTGGGTTTGGAAAGAGAAAGAAAATCCAGAGCCAACTAATGAAACTGTTGTCAGCATTCTTCTGGGGTTCATGGCCTTTATTGAATCACTTATAGATCTCTGGATCTGCAGGGCTTCTGAAAGGCTCTGTGTCCTTTAGCTGATGTATGGCTTTCCCCTCTGGAACTACGGGCAGGAATTTGAATTTCTGGGAATTGCTTCTCAGTCCCTAAAACACAGATGGATCAAGGAGCAAGAATCAACCTGACAGTGTCACAGGGGTGAAGAAGTATTTGCATGATGTGATCCACTTCCAAGCTTCACACAGCCATTTTCACCTAATGAAACTGCAGGTAACATGGACACCTGAGACAGCAGCAGTGCTCCAGATCTCTCCTGCTCTCTTTAGCTGGTGTCATTTCTCTGGCCCTGATGAATTAGTGTTGAATGGATGTTTAGAAGTGTTTGGTGGCTGCAGGAAGTGAATTGTGTATTATATTATTTCCTGCAGTCAACGAGGAACCCAAGGAATCCACCTTTATGAGCCAGGCAACCCCTTCTAGCTTTGGATTCCTGTACAAAAGTATTGACTGGGAAAAGCTTTTGGAGACAGGTCTGGAAATGTCTCAAGGTTGTTCTTTGCAGGGGGCTGGGTTACAATGAAATGGGATTCAGGTAGTTTTGAAACAGGAATTTTTGGTACTGTGGAAGCCATAGCCCACTGCAGCAAATCCCAGTCCTGTCGCCCTCAACTGTCACCAAATTCACGCTGTCACCAAGGTGCACTGAGCCTCCTGGTTTGTGATTAACCCAGGAGCACAGGGTCCTCTGCTCCTCACACCTGAGGGCCAGAAACACTGAATAAACCCACAGTGAGTCATGAATTATTTTTCCCAACACCTTCACATTCAGATGGCTCTTACCTCCTTCTGGTGATACTTTATTGCTACCTTTAGCTTTGCCAAATCGTGACATTTTTGGGGGTCCAGCTCTTCACTTTGATCGTCTCTGTGGTTGAGAATGATCTCCAGCTCTCGGGAGCTCCGTGCTTGGTCCAAAAGGTCCTTAGCAAACCGCTTGCATTGCTGGGAAAGTTCTTCGTACTCAGCCTTGAACTCATTTTCCACTTTGCTCAACTCCTTCAGCTCCCAGCCCAGCCGGAAGGCCGTCAAAATGGGATCCTCACTGGATAAGGCAATCAATGAAGGGCTGGCTAAGGCTTTGTAGATGTTCAGCCTCGACCTGGAGTGCCTCAGGCTGTCCACCTCCGAGCTGGAGACACATTCCACACAGTTGCATCTGATCTGGTGTGGGCGTGGAATCGTTACCCGTCTTTGGACAAGCAGTTTGATGATCTCGTAGTTGTTAGTGTGGGCAGCCAGCATTATGGGCGTGATGTCTGGAGTGAATTCTGAAAACTGGGTGTCCATCATCAAGGTTGGAACCTGCAGGAAGGCATAAACCACAGAGGGATGAAGTCATATCTCATGTGGAACAGCAGAGATCAGATGTCCCTCCTTCATACTTTTGAAGTGACGTCATAACAAAACAGAGGTTTTATAACACCCTCTGTTCTTTAAATCCTACCATAGCCATGCACACACACACACTCCTATTCTGGCAAAACCATCTTCCCCCCCAAATCATGCCAGTTCCATCAGGAACCTGTGACCATTCAGCTTCCAGTCTGACAAGTCAGTCCCATCCCCATTCAAATGCTTTATATGTAAACCTCATCTGAATGGGTATTGGTTCATTTACCAAAAGAAAAAAAAAAAAAAGGAAGGGAAAAAAGAAAGGAAAATAAAAGGCATAGGTAATTGTACAAAAAGAAGTACTGAATAGATTTCCAAAGCTATTACTATTTGCATGATATATCTGCATTGGCAGGCCAAGAACAGGCTCGTAGCAGGTCCTGCACAAACCAAACACTGGTCTGCAGTTGGGCAAAGCTCTTCTTCTCTTTTCCCCAGTGTTTTTATTTGAAAATACTTTTCAATGTAAGGATACATTACATAACTGCCCTCAGAATAGATTCATCGGGGTCTTTTTTTTAAATGGATTTGAAAAAAGTGAAATGTAAAATTAATGAGCCATAGTCCACTACGAATAAGCCACTCCAGGCTGTGCATTCCAGCTACTACTGCACTTCCCAAAAGATGAGCTTAATGCACACCCTGTTGTGCCTTATTACTGTATGCAGAGTGCAAAATTAGATGGAAATGCTCTTACACCCCAAGCACACAGTGCTTCCATCTGCAGCACAGGCAGCTCTCTGTTGTGTATTAATCACTGCCCATACCCACTGACCTCCATGTGCCCACCACTCCTGCCCTGGCACTTGGCATCCTGCTGCTTGAGGGAGGAATGCTGGTTTTGTTCCACCTTGCAAATGTCAAAGGTGTTTGAGACAACTATTGTCAAAGAGTCGAAACAACAGGAAATATTGGTCTGTATAAATCCCAAAGCAAAGTAGTGATAAAGGATCATGAGGTAAGCGATTAGAAATCCTTCCACAGGATACCCCCAAGGCTGATTATAAGACAGGGAACCTCCAGCCATGGAATGTGAGTCCCTGGGAGTTAAAGGCCTCTGTGGCACAGAAGTTCATCAATAAACCTCTACATAACCCAGATGCAACACTGGGACAGACCCTGTTCACGACACACCAAAGGGGGTCAGCACATCGAGATGTGGGGCTGGTTACTGGAGCAGGGCTCACTGGGTGGCTGCAGGGATTTGGGGGAATAAATCTGCTCCCCTAAATGTGGCAGGTGAGGAGTTAAATCCCTGGCAGCCTACAGACACACGGGTGTAGAGAGGCTTTGCTACCCAGGCTGGTCCCTCCAGAGGCAGGAGGGAGAGGATAAATAGGGCTCATGGGGAAGGAGAGAAAACAGCAGTGAGGATTTGCGGTGGGTCACAGAGGGCTTGGTGTCTCTTAGCAAGGTTGGATAAATGTATTTTAGGATATCTAGTAACAAGTGGCTGAAAGCAGCTCTCTTTGTAAGGTCTTTGACTCTCTTCCTTTCCCTTTGTTTAGCTCCTTTAGGTAGTTTGTTAAATGTCAAGAGAAAAGTGTGGGGTTTTTTTCTCTTTCTTAGAAGCTTTTTTTTTTTTAAAGTCCTGATGTTTGAATATAACTGCATTTATCTTTCTTCCCCTCCTTTTTCAGCCAGTGCCTGGTTGTTGCAGTCAGAGCCTCTGCCTCAAAGGAAGAACACCTCTCCCCTCTATCACTCCTATTACTGTCAAATTTAATCTTGTTTTTCTATATCGAAGTTATTGTACCAAGGGCTGCGAAAAGGATTTTCAGCTTTACACAGATGAGTTATTCATGTTGCTTGCAATATGAAATGGGCACTTGAGGAGAAGGCAGTGATGTTACAGGTGGGGATAGTGCTAATCCTGTCTGTTCCAGAGGTTTTCTAAATCCAGATCTAGGGCACTCTAAGTTATTGTTTCAACATTTGGGATCAAACCAAGTGATCTGTCCTCCCTTATTCTGGCACATACCAGCCCTCACCCCCAAAATGGTGCTTCAAGAGGCTGGAACAGCTGCCATGGTAAAGGCAGGTGCTCCTGGGCAGCTTACAGCACTTTTGAGGAGGGATGAGGAGGGAAATGGTGGTGCAGACACACAGAGGCTCCCTGGGTCTGGGATCTGGAAGCAGATCAGTGAGTGTAAGGTCTCAAATCACCAGAGCTGAAGCTTATTTCTGAGCAGCAAAGCAAACCAGCCACACACAAAACAGGAACAGTGTGACCCATGGCTGCTGTGTCTGGCTGACCCAAAGGCCACGCACTGGCCAAAAATTTGTGGTAAGTATTTTTGTTGTCTTCTTCCAGCCTTTTGCTAACCTGCATCAGAAACTGCCTTGTCTGAAAGCTCTGGCTGTGCAAAGCCAGCCTTTGCTCAAGGGTTGTGTTCTGCCAGTGGAGTGACAGCAGAGATTACAACGCATCGTCATCACTGATGTTCCTCAAGTGCTGCTCTGCCCGGTTGAACTCATGTTTAGAGCAGCTTCTTCTGTGTCTTGGGTTAACTTACAGTGATGGAAGCAAGAAGAGGAATAATTTATTCTACCCCAAGGGCTCTGCTAAGCTCTTCCAAGGTTATTTTCATTAAGTGACCTGAATAACAAAATTCTTTTCCATTAACCTCATCACTTGACATGAGCTGTTAAGCTGAGTCCTTCAGAATCTTACTGCCACTACTGGCACAGGAGCAAGTGCCTTGTCTGTATTTCATCTTGGTAATGTTCACTTGAGAAATTAACACTACCATGAACAACAAGTGACTGAATACTTCCTAGATTTAATCCTCATAAAAGCAGGCTGTTTACAACTGTACCACTGCTTCTCTGAATGACGCTGCAGAGAGTGAAAAATCCCCTTTATTTAAAAAAGGAGGGTGAAGAAACAAGCTTAATTCATTAAAAGAGAAGAAAATGAAGGATTAGCTCACAGAAAAGCACTGCTCAGAATAGCTAAGCTCTCCTCTGAATGGAAAAACAAGTTTTCCAGCAAATTGTGCACTGCTGGGAGGGAGGTCTGGATAGGAAGAGCAGGAATCTCTGCTGATGTTAGTCATGAGCACAGGGTAAGAGGAACAAAATCACAGAGAGAAAAAGGAGAAAAGCTGGCACTGAAGGTACAATGGCCTTCTTGTAGGTCTTTCAGGAGTTTTACTTTGAACTTTATCTGGCCTGGTATCTTCCCTGGAGCAGGTCCTCTGGTTGAGTGTGTGTAAAAGCAACAGAGCTCAAGTGCTCCAAGACTGCTCAACCACGTGAACAAAGGTGCAACAAATGTGAAAGCCAAGGAGAGTCACTTCAAAAACATTGTCCTTAACCAAACTGATAGACTGATGTGAATGCACCTTTTGCCTTTTATAGACCATGGAAGCTAAAATTGTAAACTTCTTGGGTTGGATTACACAGATAAACATGTCACTTCTTGGGTCAGATAAACATGCATCCTGTTCTGGCACTGAGAATGCCACCACTCCTGTCTGGAAATAACTGATCTAATAATGCTCTTGCCTGTTACAGGTGGAACTGCCCCATTTTCAAGCCATCTTCACTTCATTCTTGTAAGTTCCCTTTAGGTACTGGAAGGAACCTTACATGGGTCTCTGGGAAAATGTTACACGCTTGTATAAATTTAATCATTCATTTTAGGTGATACAGTGGGTTCATGTTTCAATAACTGAGTATCTTAATCAAAGATGCCTTGAGAGATGCTTTGTATCAGAGAGATGACAGTACCTGTATCAGTATAGGGAGGCTGGCATTTTCTCTAGCACAATTCACGGAACGAGGTAATTTGGTAAATGAAATATAACGAACAAAACAACCTGATACCTAAAAAAAGTACCCTACTTAAGGGCTTTTGTGCTGGTTATGAGCAAGCTTTGCAACTTTGGCATAAGGCACACGTTGTAGATGTACTTATGAGCAAGCTCTGCTATTATTGAAGTGTTCCACTGGCTTCAACACAGCTGTCACAGAATATCCATCAGAAGAAAAGGCTCTTTCTGGTCTAAAATCTCCTCAGTGACTTCCATGCCTGTAAAGCCAAATAAAATTTCTGCCCCTCAGATTAATACTGCAAAACAGAGAAAATTAGCACTTTTTAGTGCCTTCTAGCAAGCCAAATGCTGCAACAAGGTTACCAGGTGGTACACACACTAAAATAGGCACCTTTGAATAAAAACCAGCATGATATAAAGTCACGGAATTGTTAATAACCATTAACTAACATAATGCATTACTACTGAAAGAACGTGAAAAATTAAATTTGTGATACCTGTGTAACCAAATGGCTTCCTCTACAACCAGTAAACAAAAGCAACACACAGATATATCTGCTCTAGATTCTTTCACTTTTCATTTGGCTTCTTATCCATGTGTTTAAAAATGGAGGTAGACTCAAGGGATTAGTCTTCAGAGCTAAACTGAAATCCAGTGCACTTGACAGTGGCAGAACTGCATCAGAGCTTGTGCTCAGCCATGTGTTTAGGAAATGCAGCACAGCCAGAAAGATTTTCAAAAGATGTCACCATTTGGGGCTGATGCTACATAATAACTTCTCTTCTGCTGGGGATTAAAGGAGAGGAATAAGGAGAGAAGCCTTCCCAAGGAAAGGATTTTGCAAATACACATTTAAATGGCCTGTGGCAGGTTCTTGCAGGCAGAGCACTCTCCTCTGAGCCACTCTCCTCTCAGATGGAGGTGGAGGAGATGAGATGAGGCATTTGATGAGGAAATGAAGGAAGAGGACAATCAGTGTGGCTTATTCTTCAAGTCACAGTTGGACGCTCTAAAGAGTTACCTCGTGTTTGAACCTCTTGTATTGAACTGAAACGCAACCTGAGGTCTCCTTTTCCCTGAATTCCTCTGTCTTTCTGCAGTTAAGAACTACTGAATCCAGCAGGAAGATT